AGTTTTCCTATCTTAGCGTCAAGGATTTCTTTCTTCTCGTCCGGGACTTTATCTGAGAAGAGTGCAATAGGAATCAACTCTTCTGATAGGTACCAGGTGTGTCGCTGGATGATTTCGCTCGTCTTCTTCACGATTTTCTTCGAAAGTCTTCCAGGAACTTTGCTAAACCTCTGTAGAGAGGTGAACATCTTGAGGTCGTTAACGGCTGCATCTTCTAGGGAGGGAGAAGAGAACCAGAACTGCATGTAGCAGAATACTATCCAAGGAGCTAGGGTACGGACTTTCTCCTTCTTCTGCCAGGAGAGTTTCGATTGGTTCAGTTGATGACCAATGAGCGCCAACTTCAGGATGTAGATTGCTTTAGACATCCACCTGGCATGGTGGTCCGCTCCAGGACGGGATATCTTGAAGGTCCATCTCTTCTTTCGTTCCACTGTCCCACCAAGGTAAAGCTTCGTCAGTTCCAGGAACTCCTTGTAGTCACCGCGAGGAAGGGAGAGTAGGGAAATGGATATTTGTAAGGTCTAGAGAATTCCATGTAGGGGGATCCTTCAGTACTTTGAATAGGGCTACGTTAGGAGACTTCGTACCGCCAAAGACCTCGTGGAAGGCTCCTCTGAGTAGGAGTTCTAGGATGTGATGGCGACAGGGTAACCATAGGATTTGACGTTCAAGCAGCTGCTGTAGGATAGTACAACCTCCCTTGTGGACTCCCGTGTTAGAGGACGTCGTGTCAAAACCTGAAGCAACAACTTTATTAGTAAGATCCCACTCTTCAAGAGCTCCCGCAACTGCCCTGGCCTCTACCTCCCCAGTCCCATTTTCAGTCTTTGCAATAGCCAATATTTGATTACAGTCCTCTTGGACAGCCACTATGGCAAGTCGATTAACACTCCCAAACCCTCCCAAATTTGGTAATAATTTAGCATCAAAATTAATTTGACAAATATCAGCACACTCAAAGTCATCCTTGATCTTCTTCGCTGCAACAGCTCGTGATTTTTGCCTCTGTCTCCGTGCAGTTGACTTGGACAGGGATAAATCGTCAATGTCTCCACCACAGTGATTGATTATAGTGGCTAGTGTAGCGACGAGTGTGTTGTTGCTAGCTCCGAGACGGTCAGCAGCTGGTCCGATCTTTTTAATTATGTCGGAAGGGACAGTAATAGTAGTAGATCGGGGAGTGCAGGATTCTCTACGAGGCCTCTTGGGTAGGAACTCTACGGAGGAGTCAGGACTGGAGTCATGGCTGGAGGCTGGGGGTGTAGAAGAAATGGAAGGAGTAGGGGTAGAAGGAGGTTCAGTGACGGACTGGGACTTAGCGTACTCCTCGTACTTGGCTTCCCGAGCAAGCTTCTTCTCGACCACAGCCTTGGTTTTGAAGTCCCGAGTTGAAGAAATCTGCGCATCCCAGTGATGGAGTAGAAACTGTCTGTCATCTTTATGGACTCTAGAGGTGAAGATGAGGGATCTATTTGAGATGTCAAAAAGCTTAGGGAGGGATTCGACGAACTCTGCTATCTTCTTCAGGAAGGGGGCACTAGATTGTCGTGAAATCGGGGTTTTTAAAAGGGATTTCCACTTCTGGTGGAGAGGCTCGATCATCCTCTTCATGATGTTGCCCTGTGTCTTGAGGACGTCTCCAAAACCAGCATACTCCCAAACGGACACGACATCGTTCTTCACAGTAACTCTAGCTAACTCTCCCGCAGCATTACCGAAATTGTGCTCAAGAATAAAGAAGAGTCTCTGTAGAACAACTTGGTTAGTGGGTAGCTTGGAGTCAGGGATTCTGTCGAGGAGCTTTCCTATCAATGGAATCTCTCTTCTAGGCTTTCTTCGCTTTCCTTTGGAGGTTGACATTGTTGGTTGACTGATAATTACTCATCGTTTTTAGTTCTTTTAAACGTTATTGCCGGTGTCAGCACTTACCAGGGTTTGTTATGTGACTCGTGGACGCTACAAGGATGTCAAGGGCCAGATCTTGTTCAACATTCATTGACCATGGTCCATGGTGTCAACGGTATCTTTTGGCTCACATTTCTGGACCTCGTTAGTCTTTAGTCATGTTATGCTGATCCAGTTAGTGACGAGCTATGAAGTAATCATTCGATCTCATTAATACTGATCCTATCAATGACGATCTATAGAGTTATCAAATTTTAAACCATGTTCAAACGAAATGCTTGGGTCACATTTATATTCGAGTAGAAAGTCTCAAAGCTCTAAATCAATCCAATCATTTAAAAATCTGAGATTTTCGTGTTTTTATGTGTATAAGAAATAGGGGCGTGGTCCACGGCCAGGGCGTGGTCCACGGCCAGGGCGTGGTCACAGAGTTTTGAAAATATGTTTAAACGAAATGCCATCATCACATTTATATTAGAGTAGAAAGTCTCAAAGCACAGAAATGACGCTTTCATGTTAAAAAATGCGATTTTCCCTATTTTACCTGTATAAGAAACGCTATAAAAATGGGCGTGGCATGTGCGGACCATATCCGGAACACTAGAGTCAAAAAAATTTTTTTGGTCGTTCCTGACCCTATAGAGCAACTAATAAGATATGATGTCTAATTATTTGAACAACTTTTGGTAAAATGAACCACTCTAGACTTAATACAGTACAGACCAAGAACAGTTACTCTTCATGTCCAGTCGACTCAATACAACTTGACAATGCAGCTGACCCTGTGGATGCATCCCACACAGTAAAAAGTTTAGGTGTCCTCTTTGATCAATTCCTTACATTTGAAGATCAAGTCAATTCAATTATCAGTTGTTGCAACATCCATTTGAGGAATCTTTGAGTTATAGGCTCAAAGCTTAACTATGACCTAAAAAGACAGCTCATTCACTGTTTGATCTTTTCAAAACTAGACTATTGCAATGGACTTCTCTATGGTTTACCCGATTTACTCATAAAGAAACTCCAGAAGGTACAAAATTCCTGTGTACGATTCTTGTTTGGTAGAAAAGCTATTAAAAAATAGGAAAGTGTCACTCCATTCCTGAAAAAGGCCTATTTTCTTCCAATTAGACAGCAAATAGAGTATAAGATTCTTCTAACAGTGTTCAAATGCATCAACAACATAGCTCCGCTCCAGACTATATCACCAAATGCATCGACATCAAGAGTCAACCTGTACGTGTGCTTCGAACTGAACAAGACTATTTCCTCCTAAATGTTCCTCCTGTCTCAAATTATAGTAAAACTGAGAGAGGTTTTAGTTACTGTGGACCCTCAGTATGGAATCAGCTTCCTTATCAATTGAGAACATTGACTGATATTGTCTTGTTTAAAAAGAGACTAAAGACTCATCTATTTGAAAAAGTGTTCATATAAGTATCTTCTTCTTCGTAGGGGGCAGTGGTCTTTACTACTAAGGAATAGATCAAAACCACTATAAGATAGAGCATTGAAGCCCTGTGCTTACCCCGGTAAATTTAATCTGTGCAGAAAGCAAGGTTAAGCCTTGTCCTCTCCACATTTGGTAAAACGTTTTGTTGCTTGTATAAAGCCGATGATCCTTGGTAATGAGAACTTGTCCACTATATCTGTCACACTGAGGTAGAAGGAGTCAAAGTATCCTCCTCGCTGGTAAGACCATTTCAGGCACTGACTAATAAAGTGGTTCATTGTCTCCTCTTCCATGAGACAGTGTGGACAGGTTTTAGGGACAGTTGTCGGCTTGTACTTATTGATGTGATAGTTTAATTCACTATGTCCCGTGAGGAATTGTGTTGCTGTTCTTGTGCTCTCTTTGCCAAGTTTCGGGATTGATCTGGCGAACTTTTGTCTCCATACTCGTTTAAAGTGAGTGTTGGGTAAAGTTCTCCATCTTTCCCTCATCTTCCGATGACTTATACTCCGCAGTGCTCCCTTCCATAATACTTTTGGTATTGGTAGTTGCACTTGAACGGAGTCCAGATTGTCGGAGCCTTTTTTGGCAAGAGAGTCTGCCTTTTCGTTGCCATCGTAGCCTTTGTGAGCTGGTATCCATCGTAGTAGGACTTGATTGTCCATTGCTAGTTGGTTAAGCTCACTTATAGCCGTGCTGGTGCTTTTAGATTTGACTTTGATGTTGCTCATTGCCATTATTGTCGCCTGGCTATCGCAGTTTATGATTATTTTCCTAGTTTTGGTCCCAGATTCCCGTAATATTTTTGCCGCAGTGCCTACGGCAAAGGTTTCGGCCTGGAAGACGATTGAGTTGATTCCTAGGTGGTATGACTCCTCACATGTGGGGTTGTCGTTGTCCACAATGTACACTCCTGCTCCAATTTTTTCATTCATTTTGGAGCCGTCTGTGTAACATTGTATAGTATTGGTATCATTCTCGATTACCTCATACTCAGAGAGTCGGGGAATTTCTCTGTTGAAGCCAATGTCAACATTCAGTGATGTTGTCTGTTGATCTTGTCCTTCAGAGTTGAGACTGATAGCCTAAATAGTAACTGTTCATTAAGTTTTGTGTGGGTGGTTAGGTTGCCCTTCTTGTTTACCATCGGCTCATATATCCACTGGTTGTTGGATTTGAGTCTGAGAGCTCCTTTTGCTGCTTCCTCTTCCATCACCAGATCAATAGGGATGATTCCGGTGATGATGTCTAGTGCTGCTCCGGGAGTCGATGGTAACCCTCCAGTTATGAGGATGTTCCCTAGCCGCTGTACACTGCTAAGGATTGTTAGGTTATGTTTTTTGGACACACCATTGAGCCAGATTGTCACAGTGTATGTCAGAGAGGGTCTGACAACGGCTGTATAAATCCATTTCATGGTCTTGGGGGTGAACCCCCATGTTGGTCCAATAAAGTATCATATAATATCTTTCTCATACAAACCATACTTCATAAAATGCTAAGTTCTTATGCACATGTTCATAAGTCGCTTTAGATGGCTTGAACTGAATCTTTGGATTTTGAGTTCTTTTTGGCTATAAAGCGATGTATACATTTCTAGTTATTATTATTATTATTGTTAATAATTAAGTTATGGCTACTCAAAGCAATAGCAAGGAATCTGATTCATATTCAATTTATAACTGTACCTGTTTTCAATTAGCAACACAATGGAACATGAGTGTGAAGTCAAACACTTCCAGTTCAAGTTCCTTCCTAAAATCATTGTTGGTAAACAAACAGATGTCGAGAGAGGCCAACTCATTTCTTCTACCAAGTTTGGACATATCATAGTATCACAGAGCAATGGTGAGTTTCTTTTGTTCATTTTAAATCAGCTCAAATTTGTTATAACTTGAAACAGCCATTAAAGCTTAACTGCATAATAATGTTAACAGATTAACAAATTTCAAATGTTTAATTAATTTGTAGTATGACAGTAAGGTATATAAGAAGGTATATAAGAAGGTATATAAGAAGTTATTTAATTTTGCTTGGGCTATTATATTGACTATTGAGGTTTAATGATGATATGGAATTTGAATTTTATATAAATTTACACTATGTGGTTGGGCCATTTTGCATAGTAAATATGGTTACTACTCCTATATATCATTTTATTTGATTGGTATTCGATTTCTGATTATTTCCCTAGGAATATGATTATTATATCTCAATTTGGATTTAGGTAGGGTGCCCCGCTTAAAGAACTGGATTCTTCCAGGAAGCATCCCGTGCACAGAGCTTGGTCTACATATATAAAATTATTAACCATTCATTCTGTATGTGCACGAAAATTTATTTCAATCAATCAATGTTCCATAACCAGGCCAAAATTAACGTAATTGCTTGTATAACCTTTTCAAAAGTTCCCCAAGAAAGTTAAAAGTTGGGACTGTGATATAATCAAACCGCCAGGGCACAGAGCTGTGCCTGGATGAGTATTTTTAGACTTTAGTATTTTATACTTTAACTTTAGAGCATTTTCAGGGCCTGGGATGTGATGGTGAATCTGTTCCATCTCCAATATTTTCATCACTAGGTTAGAATTTTCAGATGAAAATAGTTTGTATTTACCTGTTTTTGTGATGCTCAATTTCTCATGATTTCAGAGGTTACAGTGTACAAGAAGGTTGATATTCACAACATTTTCGACAAAGAAAAAGCCTCAGCATGTGTTGGCGCACCCCACCCAGTATCAGTCATGTCATTTGACACTAAAGTGACTCATCTAACAGTTTCTTGTGACGACACGATGTTAGGTGTTGTTACGGAGGACAATAAGATATCACTAGTTGATGTTAGGACACTGAATAGTGATCCGGCTGTTTTCTCACAGGCTTCACTCTCTGCTAAATGTAAGTGTTTGAGTTATCAATAATAAAAAATCAGCCAATTTGTTTGGTCAGTTATTATTTTTGTTAGTTTTAGCTTTCATTTGAGAACAGGAAAAATATATCAGAGCTTTCATCAATAGATGCGCTCCCTCAGTGGGCTGTTCACTTGACAGAGATATTTGCTTGAGCTAGAGGCAACATAAATGTCCAGTAATGTTCAGCGAATAGTGTGATTCCGCACCTGCCTAGATTTTTTAAAGCTGCAAATTTGGAGACAAAAACACTGCAATTAAGCTATACAATTTTCCAAATTTGGAGCCCTTAGGCACTCTTAGGTTGAATTATTCAACATTATAGTTGAATTATTCAACATTATAGTATATAACGTTGCCTTACACGATTGTTGAGTTTAGCACAACAAATAACTTCAAGTTTAATGTCTTAGACTGAGTTTCCTGACAATTTAAGATGTATAAATCTAGAACTACCCTCATGTCATAGAAGTGTATATAACTATACTTGTAATATATCTAATCGTGACTCAATTTCGATCTGTTGAGGACCATATAATATTATGTCCCAGTTTGATAAGTTATTCATTTGCCAAGATTCACCCTCTTTTATTTTGTTTATCAAATATCGATAATATTAAAAGTCGCAGCATTATCAACATGTTATCTAAATGTTCAAAAATGTTAAATTTCCTGGGGGTATTTTAATCACTTTACTTGCCGAATCAATTGAATCAAAATGTATCTGCCTATATCATATACAAATATCCCCAGGTGCTGGATTGATGTGGAATCCTGGTATACCCACACTGTTAGCCACAGCCACAGTGACCGGTGAGGTTACAGTGTGGGAGGTCCGTGTGGACTCTATTGTGCAGGCTAGCACAAAACAGACATTCGGGGCCAGTTCTCTTTGTTGGAGTTCAAAGGTAACTTGCTTTTATTGGGGACTTTTTATTTTATTGTCTCTTGACTCAGAGCGTAATATAATATTAACCAGGGCATACAAAAAAGGGGGCTTGGATTATATAATTCATGCATTTGTGTTTCAGGGTAAACAGTTGGCTGTCGGTACAAACGACGGTAAAATCTTCAATTTGAAACCAACTCTGGACGAAGCTCGATGCACTCAAAACCCCCCACTTTTTAATGCTCCTGCACTTGTCAGGTACATTAAACTAATACCTTACGTTAAACCTCACTGTCCGTGACGTCAAGAGGTCCTAATATAGACACCAAGTCGGGTTGTTGAACAGATTTAACTCAAAATTAAATTTATTCTATGGCAAACAATGGAATGTAAAGTTACGCTGTGTTTGAGCAACATCTTTTCTAAACTATGATTTATACACAGGGATATTTTTTGGATAAGCACATTCGAGTATGTCGCTGTTTACGAAAGTAGTGATGTTATCAAGATCGTTCATGTTCAGAATGTTAGTTTTAAATCAACCACATTAATGATCGTATAAAAGTTGCTAGATCAGTATAAACACCTTTTTATGAATTGAATTATTTAAATTGTCTTGAAAAACTTGATTAAAATAAATATGAATGATCAATAAAGCTGTTCAGATTCGTGTAAACATGAAAGCTTTAATTTCATTTTGCTAAGATGATAATAGGAAATAACCATGAACGTTTTTCAGCAAAAGGACAAAAAAATCCCAACAAAGTTCACTGATTTCGATGACATCTTCTACTCAGAACCAGGACGTGCTATATCAGTCCTGATGAGCCAAATCCTTCCTTGGAGCACACTCGTTCTCGGCTGCAGTCGTGGAATGGAGTTGGGTGTAATAGGAGAGCCTCCAGGCAAAAAAGGACAGTTTCTCTTCAACCTGGACGAGGGTTCTCGTGCTGAAATGCCTTTCCAGGATGGAGAACCAAGCTATCCCGTGGGAATGTGTGTCGATTATAACTACAACAAGCCCACTGTGATCGGGGAGAAATCTATCCCTCCTTCCCCTGTCCTTTTTACTCTGACTTCCGAGGGAGTTATTTGTTCTTTTAAGCTGCTGAACTATACCGCTGCCGATACTCTTGTAACTCCTCTGGAAGCACCTTCTCTGGCTCCTCCATCTCGAACCAAATCAATTGTGAATGTCAAGAAGTTGCCTTCTGCAGCTCCTGTTAGTGCAGCGCCTTTCAACACTGCTCCACCTGCTGCAGCTCCACCCAGTGCAGTTTCAGCTAAACCGTCTCTGTTCAACGCACCAGCGCCATTTCCTTCCCTTGGAGCACCAAGTCTTGCTTCAACTCCTGCTGCTGCTCCTTCATTGCCTTCCTTTGCTGCACCAAATCCTGCACCAAAACTTGCACCAACTCCAAGCTTAGCTCCTTCCTTTGGAGAAAGCAAACCTGCTGCTCCGGTTTTTACAAAACCTGAAATCCCAAAGAATCCAGTGGTTAATTTAGTCAAAGAACCGCTCTCAAGAAAACCATCCTTGCCGATAGTGAATAAAGCTGTTGAGAAACCGGTAGCTGTAGATAAGAAGAAGGACTCTCAGGAAAATCAAGCCAATTTGGATAGTATATTTGCCAAAAGCATTGATGACGAGGTCCTCAACTTCAGCCACCAAATTGAGCAACACAAAGCTTCTTCAAAAAGATTAGATGACGTTAAAGATATTCTTAGTAAAGATGAACTTAAAGAGTTTGGCAACAAGGTTATTGCTCTGGAAAAGAAACTTTCAAAGGTACACAGCACTCTTCATACAGTGAACAAGGACGTCTCTGGTGAAAAGGATACGTTACTTGTTGCTCTTGCTTCACTTGAAGAAGCAAAGGGTTACTATAACTGCTACAATGATCCATCATACATTGCACTTCTGAAATCGAAGCCACTCGACAAAATGACTCGCAAGCTAAAAGATGATCTGTTTTCGAAGTTTGCTCAAATGCAGAACCTCATTGATGAGCTGAACATTCAGCTGGATACAGAGTGGGAAAACATGCATTCTAACAAGAAGACAACTCCAACCTCACGAATGATATACAAGACACTGTCCCAACACAGGACTATCTCCAATGAGCAGGAGAAAACTATTGACACTTTGTTGAAGCAGCTTGGTAATGTGACCTTGAAGCCAAGAGAAGCCTCACCATCCCCTAACAAGTCGGTCATCACCAAGACCAAGACAATTTCCCCCCAAAAGCAAAAAATGTTACGGGGAATCTTTCAAAACCGACTTCCGACGTCAAAGATTGTAACTTCTCCAGCCAAAATGAATATTTCAAGTTTCAGTGCCAGCTATGCTAAACCACCGGCCTTACCCCCAATGTCAGAAAACTCTGAGCCCGAAGATAATGAAGCTGAGAAAGAGAATCTAAACCTAAATAGCTCAATCAGTGGTAAACCTGAACCACTAAAATTTGGGATCCCTTCTCTCCAATACAGTGAAAAGCCCAAGTTTGACGTTGATGATCCAACCAGGCTGCTGGGTGGCGAGGAAAAAGTACCAACAGTAGTTCTCAAGTACATGCCTTCAACCCCTCAAGTGCTTCCCAGTGCTGAGGAAAAGGCCAAGGGCGCTCAGGAGTTGGTAAGCAAGCTCATGGACTTTGCTCAGAAGGAGAAAGATTCCGGGACAGGTAATGCAGATGCCACATTCGCTCAAATGTTTGTCCCTGTTATGAGGACCAAAGGCCCTGTGGCTCCTGGTCAAGCTCCAAATGCAGTAATTCAACCTGTATCTACTGTTAAGGATACTGGTTTGCAGGAGCCAGTGAGTACCGTGCCCAAGAGTGGAGGATTGTTCACTGCCCCTGCCTCAGGGACTCCTTTCTCGCTTGGTTCTGGATCTTCTCAGACTAGTTCTTTGTTCGGGCTCCCCAAAACCCAGTCCACTTCTCCTCAGCCCTCTGGTTTGTTCAGCTTTACTTCTTCTAAGCCACAAAGTGTAACAAAAACTCCAGTAGTCGATGCTAAAACCATGTTTGGGGCTCAACCTAATGCCCAAAGTACTGGGAGCTTGTTTGCTCCCGTATCTACCCCTCCTCTTAACGCGGCCCAGATTGGAGCTAAATCTACACCAATTCTGGTCACACCCAAAGCTACAACTCCTCCTACAACAAACATTTTCGGCACTCTAAAACCTGCAGCAGAGCCCCCTAAATCCCCTGGCGGTGATTTTCCTGTATTCGGAGTGCCAGCTTCTCAGTTTGACAAGGAAAGAGAGAGTCCCTCTGCCGGACTTCCCGACTATAACGAATCATCTGAGGAATCCTCAACAACCTCTCTTACGTCTTCTACCACCGAGGCAAATAATGGTGCTACTGTAGATGTAGAGAGTACGGAACAAGAAAATGTGGTTCAGGAGAAAGCTGAACCAAAAGAAGCGCCAAATATCTTTAACTCAGATAATAGTCCAGCTAAACCAGCGCCCTCCTTTGGCTCCTCTACTGGTTCTCCTAAAAACTTATTTGCAGCTGCACCCTCTTCCGGGAATATATTTGCCATGGCTAACTCCTCCAGTCCATCAAGCAACATCTTCACTTCCTCAAGTTCCAGTGGAAATATGTTCGGCGGGTCTGGAGGATCCACTGTAGGATTCTTTGCTCCAGTCAGCAAAGCAGCGGACGATCAAAAGAAAGGTAGTTCGCCCAGTATCGGTGGAAGTCTAGTTAGTAGTCAGGAAAAGTCACCAGCAACGCCGCCTCAAGCAGCGGCGGTAACCGCTGCCACGCCACCTCAGGCTGCTGCTGTGGCTGCAGTTCCTGCTCCCGAGACCACAACCACTCCTCAACCCTCTGATAATCTCTTTACAACTGGAGTCAAGGATGAGGAGAAACCTACATCTGTCAAAAACCTGTTTGGGTCTGATTCCAAAGAGAATGAAGGTACATTTTTGCTTTATCTAATTTAAAAAAATAATTCGATTACCTTCCTATAAAACTGCAAAACCAAAAATAATGTACCAAGTAATTTTACCCCAAATTATCATACATAATTAAATGATTTATTTTAAATTCACGCAATTATAAGATAATCATTACAGTTATCAATGCTAACATTTCACCACATCATTCAGGTGAAAGTGAGGGCGGATTATTTAGTCTGAAGATCTCATCAGATGACACCAAATCCTCAACCTCCCCTAAGAATCCCTTCGGTTTATTAGAAACAAAGAGCGCCGCCCCAGAATCTGGTGGCTTGTTTGGAAGTATGCCAGCTACTGGCACCAGCAGCCCCTTTACCTCTAACCTATTTGCCAAACCGGCAACAACTGGTCTGTTCAGCAGTGCACCCGCCAGCACTGTAAGCAGCGGGAACATATTCACCGCAGCAAGTAGTGCCACAACTCCAGCTGGTGGAGGAGGAGGAGGAGGAGGACTGTTCGGTAGCACCACTACCACTTCCAGCAGTGGTGGTTTGTTTGGTTCCACTACCTCCACTGCTACAAGCACTACCCCTGCAGCTAGTAGTGGGTTATTTGGAACCCCTGTAGCAAGCACCCCCTCTTCTGGGCTGTTTGGGAGCACTGCTGCAATAACCCCCAGCTCAACAGGACTATTTGGGAGCACTGCTCCCAGCACTGGTCTATTCGGTGCTGCTCCTTCAGCAGCTGCTCCAGCAGCAGCGTCACCATTCGGAGGTGCCAGCACAACCACCACTGGGTCAGGTCTGTTTGGTGCTGCTCCCAGTGCACAGCCCGGCAGTGTGTTCGGTGGTGGTGGAACTGCTGGTGGTGGTTTTGGTGGTGCTGCTAATAGTACAACTGCCGGTGGATTTGGAGGTGGTAATACTAATATGTTCGGAAATACTCAAGCACAATCTGGTAAGGTTCTGTTTTTTTAATTATTTCATGACATTAACTGATTGGTGGCCGAAAGCTTCGAAAACTTTTTAGAGCAAGCATTTTAAATGACCACTGTTTTTTGAATAGGATAATACGATTTAAAAAAATTAATCATAACTATTTAATACTTTGGTAGGATTCGGCTCAACCACAACAAGCTCTGGCTTTGGTGGAACAAACGACTTAAACAGCGGCCAATCAGCTTTTGGAACAGCCCCAGCATTTGGTTCCACTCCTTCATTTGGTACTGAACCAGCTTTTGGTTCAACTCCGTCCTTTGGAGCTCCTGGTGGCTTCGGGGCTCCAGCTGCATCATCCTTCGGAACTCAGCCCACGTTTGGTGGTCAAGCAACAGGAGGTGGATCTGTTTTTGGGTCAAGTTCTGGATCTGTTTTTGGCGGTGGCGGTGGCGGCGGCCCATCATTTGGCGCCGTTGCAGCAACTGGTGGTGGAATATTTGGTGGAAACCAACAAAATCCAGCCGCTCCTCCAGCTGGAGGTGGTGGGATATTTGGTGGGAACAACAACCAGGCTGCTCCAACAGGTTTGTGTCCTTGCAGTATGTTGGTCATTATATTAACCGTCTGGGAACGAATTTGTAACCAAGTGCATAAGTGCATATGCACCAATTTTTTGTTGATGGAAATTTTAACGTATGAAGTGGTGAGCAAAACTCTTTCTCTCCGGTCCCAGTTTGCCAAACTGCGCCATTCTATTTTCGATCGATCAAATACCCCAAATAATTCACATGCCAGTGACTATAACTAAATACCAACAGGTTTTGGAGCAGCTAACAACCAGAGCAGTGGAGGTTTCCTTGGAAATACCAACCAAAACAACAACAACAACAGTTTTGGAAGCAAACCATCCTCCTTCGGGGGTTGGCGATAGGAATTGTTATATCGATAGGGCATAGAAACTAAATGAATTTTACCACACTGATTTGTTGATATTGCTGGGTTCGCTCTGTGATTAATATGGTTTCGATATAATTTATTATCTTTACAGTTTTAATAAATCGGCTGTCTATCACTTGCTCTGAATAAACGTGTGATACTTTAAAAAATACTTGCATTTTCATTCTATCACTATCTCGAAACTTAAAATTTGTATTAATTAAATATTTTCATCGTGCAATGAATGTTAAACTATTTTAATATTGTAGCATTTCTTTCAACTAAACTGTCCAACGCAGTCATGAGTTATAGTATACGATGAAGCGACGTCGCCATGACATAGTTGAGCTATCAAGTGATGATTCCTTCGATGACTTCGTCCCCACAAAGCTCAAATCAAAACGAGTTTCCATAGTTTTAAACAAGGATCCGGTCAGCCTTAGGAGCTTGAAATCCCGGAAGAAAGTATCTCAAAAAGTTGCAAGAATGTAAAGAATGTTGCTGATCAGGGTATCCTCTAGCGCTAAACAGACTCATAAGGTAGATAAGGCTCACGTGCAAGATAAGGAACGAAGAGGACGGGGTCGTCCAAAGAAGGCTGATAAATCAGGCAAGCAGAAACTGACTGTGAAAATGAAATTTCCGTCCTCGTCCCCAGAACGGCTCAGTGAAAAGGACAGAGTGAATCGAACTGCTAAATTAAAACCAGAGTTCTCGGATTTAGATGATTCGTTGTTAATTGAAACTTTAAAGCCGGGTTCGTCTAAAGTCAATGCAGAGCAGTCTACTGTCAAAGAGGAGATTTCAGGGTCATCCGAGACTACTAGAAATTCAGAGTCTCCAATGTCAGAAAAGCTTGATTTTATTAAAATCAGTTCACCAATACACAGTTCAACACTACGGACACTAAACGCTTCTCCGATCCTTCCTTCTGCCAAATTAAACTGTACCTTAGAACAAAAGGAAACTATCACTAATGCGAACGATCACGTGTTCCTTGATTGTCATGGTGATACATTTGTTAGTTTGAACGGTGATAAAAGTGACCATTCTAACGGTTTGAAAAGAGTTTTTACTTCTAGTAGTGACAGAATTCCTGATCCTAACAAAAACACTGCTTTGCATCCTGATAATGATGCTTCCAGCAGTCGGGATGATGTAACTGGTTCAAGCGATTTAAACTGTGCTGAAAATCTCAGTAGATCGAGGAGCTCCCCCCGAAATACCGCAGAATCGTTGGGTTACAGTTTTTGTCAGATCTGTCAGAAGAATATATCTGGATACTCAGCTGATCAGCGGAGGAGTCATGTGAATAAGTTAGTATCTTTATATAATATTATATAATTCGGAATTTCGCTGGATTGTACAACTTTCGTCTTGGTAGATTCCAAACACAAGGAAATTTTCCTTCTGGTTGGTAATATACTCAATGATGGAAGTATAGTGTATTGGCTATGCCCCGCTTACTAGTTTAGCTCTTTCTAGTCCCCTGCTACACGGCATGTAAACAGGGATTGGCTAGTTAGAGGCGGTCCGTGTAGGCCTTACACTGTGCTTTCAGCAATAGCTTCTTAATTTTGTGAAAAACTTGATATGTTGTTATGATCCATTGTTTACATTTTACTCTTTAGATTTTTGGCCAATACTTATGTCTTTATACACTGTAAGAGGCTAGTTTATTTTGTAGTTCTGTAACCTGAGAAACACAGAGGTAGGTTTATGTTTAAAACATCACGGGCCATTCCTACACTTTTACCTCAATGAATGTAATAGATGTGTAGTGTTGCAATTAGTTTAAAATTTAAATTATTACTGATTTATTTATTATTGAATGAAGCCCATGAAAATATAATGTGCAATGTTAAAAAGAAGTTTTTAAAGATACCCTGAGGTATCTTAACTATATATATATATATACTGTACAGTTTATATATAAACTATAAGATTTTTGACAATCAATGAAAATTGTACCTCGATTAATATGACTCACTTTTCTTCATTCTTGTTAAGACTTTAAGAAGATTCACGTGTAACTAAAGAAATCTCAGGTGCTGTGATGCGCTGGAAACAGCAAATAACTTTGGCAGCAGAAACAGTCTCAACTCTCAAGGAAAGAGACAAGTTCCCGCTCGCATCAACTGTCCGCTGTGCCCCAAGAACTACTGTGATAAGAGTGCGGTGAAGAAACATCTGAAGACATGTTGTGAAGAACGTAGCAAGTGTTATGAAACAGTGTGTGAAATGTTGTTTGCTTCTTCCAGGTTGGTAATGTGTAGAGTAATGTATTATGCATTAAGTTGATGTTCGGAGTTACTCTCAGTCCTAAGTAAATGGAGTTGAATAAGGTGATATTTTCTACTTAATTCTGTTGTGTATCATGTATGTAGCCTTTTTAATGGTTTTGATGTGCCCCCTTGCAGTAAGATATCGGTAGACATTGATGGTAGCAAACCAAAGAAGGAAACAACAAAAAAGACAAAATCAAAAGAGAAACAATCAACCCCTCTGCTTATGGAAAATAACGGTGCTATCAACGATGCCCAGAACAGAATACTGGATATAGTCGCTGACCAGGTAAAACTTATCAATTTTGAAGGCCTGTGTTTGCTTTTGAGCAAATTCTTGCTGCTATTTACCTCTAAATTTACGTGAACGTAAAACCTAAAACTCGATCATTGTGCGAAACTTGATCATTGTGCGAAACGGTCTTCCTTAGAAAGAGAGCGTGACGTTTCCTTGATTTGTGTATGCGATTTGTATGCGATTTCACCCCTGTATGCGATTTGTGTTCCGGGGTATTTGGAACAGGTTTAGGGTTTTAAATAGTTAGTACCTGTCCCAAACCATCATAAAAATCAAGTTTCGACCTCCCAACCCACTCAGGCCACTCCCAGGGGCCACGCCCATCCCAAAATAGCTGAAATCCTGGTAAAATCAAGATTGAAAATCTTTACCCCCGTATGCGATTTATGTTCCGGGGTAGGTGGCCCATGTTTTAGTATAAAAATGGGTACTGCCTATCCCAAACCATCATAAAAACCAAGTTTCAACCTCTCAAACCACTCAGGCCACTCCCAGGGGCCACGCCCATCCCAAAATAGCTGAAATCCAGGTCAAATCAAGATTAAAAATCTTTACCCCCGTATGCGATTTATGTTCCGGGGTAGGTGGCCCATGTTTTAGTATAAAAATGGGTACTGCCTATCCCAAACCATCATAAAAACCAAGTTTCGACCTCGCAAACCACTCAGGCCACTCCCAGGGGCCACACCCATCCCAAAATAGCTCAAATCCAGGTCAAATCCCATACAAATCCAGACTGAGAATCTTTACCCCCGTATGCGATTTATGTTCCGGGGTAGGTGGCCCATGTTTTAGTATAAAAATGGGTACTGCCTATCCCAAACCATAAAAAAAACCAAGTTTCGACCTCCCAACCCACTCAGGCCACTCCCAGGGGCCACGCCCATCCCAAAATAGCTGAAATCCAGGTAAAATCAAGATTGAAAATCTTTACCCCCGTATGCGATTTATGTTCCGGGGTAGGTGGCCCATGTTTTAGTATAAAAATGGGTACTGCCTATCCCAAACCATCATAAAAACCAAGTTTCAACCTCTCAAACCACTCAGGCCACTCCCAGGGGCCACGCCCATCCCAAAATAGCTGAAATCCAGGTCAAATCAAGATTAAAAATCTTTACCCCCGTATGCGATTTATGTTCCGGGGTAGGTGGCCCATGTTTTAGTATAAAAATGGGTACTGCCTATCCCAAACCATCATAAAAACCAAGTTTCGACCTCGCAAACCACTCAGGCCACTCCCAGGGGCCACACCCATCCCAAAATAGCTCAAATCCAGGTCAAATCCCATACAAATCCAGACTGAGAATCTTTACCCCCGTATGCGATTTATGTTCCGGGGTAGGTGGCCCATGTTTTAGTATAAAAATGGGTACTGCCTATCCCAAACCATAAAAAAAACCAAGTTTCGACCTCCCAACCCACTCAGGCCACTCCCAGGGGCCACGCCCATCCCAAAATAGCTGAAATCCAGGTAAAATCAAGATTGAAAATCTTTACCCCCGTATGCGATTTATGTTCCGGGGTAGGTGGCCCATGTTTTAGTATAAAAATGGGTACTGCCTATCCCAAACCATCATAAAAACCAAGTTTCGACCTCGCAAACCACTCAGGTCACTCCCAGGGGCCACACCCATCCCAAAATAGCTCAAATCCAGGTCAAATCCTATACAAATCCAGACTGAGAATCTTTACCCCCGTATGCGATTTATGTTCCGGGGTAGGTGGCCCATGTTTTAGTATAAAAATGGGTACTGCCTATCCCAAACCATCAAAAAAATCAAGTTTCGACCTCCCAACCCACTCAGGCCACTCCCAGGGGCCACGCCCATCCCAAAATAGCTGAAATCCAGGTAAAATCAAGATTGAAAATCTTTACCCCCGTATGCGATTTATGTTCCGGGGTAGGTGGCCCACGTTTTAGTATAAAAATGGGTATTGACTATCTCAAACCATCATAAAAACTAAGTTTCGACCTCTCAAACCACTCAGGCCACTCCCAGGGGCCACGCCCATCCCAAAATAGCTGAAATTCAGGTCAAATCCCATACAAATCCAGACTGAGAATCTTTACCCCCGTATGCGATTTATGTTCCGGGGTAGGTGGCCCATGTTTTAGTATAAAAATGGGTACTGCCTATCCCAAACCATCATAAAAACCAAGTTTCGACCTCGCAAACCACTCGGGCCACTCCCAGGGGCCACACCCATCCCAAAATAGCTCAAATCCAGGTCAAATCCCATACAAATCCAGACTGAGAATCTTTACCCCCGTATGCGATTTATGTTCCGGGGTAGGTGGCCCATGTTTTAGTATAAAAATGGGTACTACCTATCCCAAACCATCATAAAAACCAAGTTTCGACCTCTCAAACTACTCTTGCCACTCCCAGGGGCCACGCCCATCCCAAAATAGCTCAAATCCAGGTCAAATCCCATACAAATCCAGACTGAGAATCTTTACCCCCGTATGCGATTTATGTTCCGGGGTAGGTGGCCCATGTTTTAGTATAAAAATGGGTACTGCCTATCCCAAACCATAAAAAAAAATCAAGTTTCGACCTCCCAACCCACTCAGGCCACTCCCAGGGGCCACGCCCATCCCAAAATAGCTGAAATCCAGGTAAAATCAAGATTGAAAATCTTTACCCCCGTATGCGATTTATGTTCCGGGGTAGGTGGCCCATGTTTTAGTATAAAAATGGGTATTGACTATCTCAAACCATCATAAAAACCAAGTTTCGACCTCGCAAACCACTCGGGCCACTCCCAGGGGCCACACCCATCCCAAAATAGCTCAAATCCAGGTCAAATCCCATACAAATCCAGACTGAGAATCTTTACCCCCGTATGCGATTTATGTTTCGGGGTAGGTGGCCCATGTTTTAGTATAAAAATGGGTACTACCTATCCCAAACCATCATAAAAACCAAGTTTCGACCTCTCAAACTACTCTTGCCACTCCCAGGGGCCACGCCCATCCCAAAATTACTGAAATCCAGCTAAAATCCAGACTGAGAATCTTTACCCCCGTATGCGATTTATGTTCCGGGGTAGGTGGCCCATGTTTTAGTATAAAAATGGGTACTGCCTATCCCAAACCATCATAAAAACCAATTTTCGACCTCTCAACTCACTCAGGCCACTCCCAGAGGCCACGCCTATCCCAAAATAGCTGAAATTCAGGTCAAATCAAGAATGAGAATCTTTACACCTGTAGGGGATTTAACTTCCGGGGTATTCTTTTTGGTATGACTTACTATCACCACTCATTCGAGGAATATGTTAAATCAAAGAATATTCATGTTCATTTTTTTCGAATGAAGGTTCATTATCGCATTTTTTAAATAGTTTTGATAATCAGATCGAGCCAAATTTTATAGGATTGTATTTAGCCATTCAAATTACGTTCGATCTGAAAAAATGAGAGTTGTAGCTTCTCAGATGTCCGAGATACGAGGCATAACGAGTTTATTCATTACGTGTGATCAGGTGATTGGATTACCTGCTCAGGTGATTAGATGGCCCCGTTAAATTGCAAGGGAACCCAATCAAGGTGTCCTATCACATAATCACCCAATCAATTTTGTTAACGAGATACATTCAATGCGTCATTTCAACTCCGATTGACCTCAATTTTTCAGATCAGATGCAACAATTAAATATCTACAGTAATCTGAAATAAATGGGCGTCTAGTATGTCTGGAAAGAACAATATAGGTGATTTAATATTAAATATGGACGTAGGCCGTAGTCTAAATATTCAAATTTTCAAACATTGGCGACGGAATCCTCGAATGAGTAGTTACAGCATGCCATCTGCAAAGTTACAGGTCCATAATATGAAACACGGTGGTGGTGTAAGACCCAACATATGTAACGTTAGTTTTGCCCCACCCCCTGTAGCTTTTATGGGTTAGGCGTGGCCCCTGGGAGTGGCCTGAGTGGTTTGAGAGGACGAAACTTGGTTTTTATGTTGGTTTGGGATAGGTAGAACCCATTTTTACATTAAAACATGGGCCACCTACCCCGGAACATAAATCGCATACGGGGGTAAAGATTCTCAGTCTGGATTTGTATGGGATTTGACCTGGATTTCAGCTATTTTGGGATGGGCGTGGCCCCTGGGAGTGGCCTGAGTGGTTTGAGAGGTCGAAACTTGGTTTTTATGATGGTTTGGGATAGTCAGTATCCATTTTTATACTAAAACATGGGCCACCTACCCCGGAACATAAATCGCATACGGGGGTAAAGATTTTCAATCTTGATTTTACCTGGATTTCAGCTATGTTGGGATGGGCGTGGCCTGAGTGGGTTGGGAGGTCGAAACTTGATTTTTATGATGGTTTGGGATAGGCAGTACCCATTTTTATACTAAAACATGGGCCACCTACCCTGGAACATAAATCGCATACGGGGGTAAAGATTTTAAAGTCTGGATTTTAGCTGGATTTCAGTAATTTTGGGATGGGCGTGGCCCCTGGGAGTGGCCTGAGTGGGTTGAGAGGTCGAAACTTGGTTTTTATGATGGTTTGGGATAGGCAGTACCCATTTTTATACTAGAACATGGGCCACCTACTCCGGAACATAAATCGCATACGGGGGTAAAGATTTTAAAGTCTGGATTTTAGCTGGATTTCAGCTATTTTGTGATGGGTGTGGCCCCTGGGAGTGGCGTGAGTGGTTTGAGAGGTCGAAACTTGGTTTTTATGATGGTTTGGGATAGGTAGTACCCATTTTTATACCAAAACATGGGCCACCTACCCCGGAACATAAATCGCATACGGGGGTAAAGATTTTAAAGTCTGGATTTTAGCTGGATTTCAGTAATTTTGGGATGGGCGTGGCCCCTGGGAGTGGCCTGAGTGGGTTGAGAGCTTGAGAGGTCGAAACTTTGTTTTTATGATGGTTTGGGATAGGTAGTACCCATTTTATATAAAACATGGGCCACCTACCCCGGAACATAAATCGCATACGGGGGTAAAGATTCTCAG